AAAAAGGTGTTCTCTGCCTCAGTCAACTGATTCTAGGACATTCCCTGTGAGGTTAGCAAAGACAGGCCTGGTAAGAAGTGACTAGATCCAGAGGGAGCCTAGATCCAGAGGGTGCAGAAGAAGGTAGAATCTCCACTGAGCTGTATCCAATCTGTCTGGGTGGGGCTGATGAAAGGAAATGCGGATAGGTCTCTTGTGGTACAATAGTGAATAATTGTTATCAGGACTGATTGTGAGGGTTGGAAATGTAAAGGTAAATGTTTTGTAGCAAAAGGAGGGGAGTGATTGACTTTGCAGTCTAAGAGTAGAGGTCCCTGGGACCATCAAAGGAGAAGAGCGGAGAGCGGGACCCTACCCAGAGAAACAGTGATGCCAGAGATGGAAGCAGAGATGATGACGTGGAGAGATGGAGCAGTTGGGGACTTTAGACACAGAGAGGGAGAGAGGCTGTACGCTGACGACTTGGGGGCAGGCTTGCAGGGTATACCCTTTGGTTGGTTGATGATGCATGGAGGGGATTGTAACCATGGCAATGAAACGATATACGATAGAATGAATGTAAAACTAACATTCTCTCATGTAAATGATCACATAATTCACAACAAAACATTAAAAAAAAAAAAAAAATGACAGGCCTGGGAAACCCTAGTGTGTATGTGGTTTGGAAGGGCGGACTGGGAAAACTAGAGGCCTTAGTATCAGGGAAGTGCAGACCCAGGGAGGTCTGGAGAGTTTAGATTCTGCTAAAGCAGAAATTCAGTTCTGATTCACAGCAAGCCTATGTAGGGTTTCCAAGGCTATAAATCTTTATGGGAGCAGAAAGTCTTATCTTTTTTGAACTTGTAGTTAGCAGTCCAGTGCTTATCCTACAGTGCTACCAGAACTCCTTGGAGAAGCAACAGGCATGCTAGTTAGCTGCCTATTCAATAGCCATTCCTTCCTTCTTTACTGAAAAGATTCCCAATTTAGGGGCATTAATTGCTCAGCTAAAAAAGTTAATTCCCCAAGTCTCCTTGTGGCTACTGGTCAAGGGACCCAATTCCACCTAATGACTGTAAGCAGAAATACGCAAGCGAAGCTTCTGAAAAGGCAATCGCTTTCTTTGCTAATTAATAAAATGGAACACATATTTGTATCTTTTCCCCTAAACCCTTCCTTCTCTTTGCCTGAAACAGTGAGGTGATACTCAGAAGTACCAGCCAGGGCTCCTGTCCCTGACAGCGCTGTGAGCCACTGAGTCAACCCTGGAGTCAGCCTGTGGACTTTGTTACAAACCAAAAAACAAGCCCAAAGGAGCTTAAACCAGCTATTTGGTTTGCAATCATACACATTTTTTTCAACCTAAACAACAGCTAGGTGTTTGAGACTTTTTAAAGTTATAATAACCAGACCACTCCAATTTCTCTGAAGCCTTAAAATTAAGGCATTCATACCTGACATGGGTCCTGATTGGCCTTTGTGGATAACCCAAGTAATTTTTTCATCTGCCCATATACACTCACAATGAAGTGCAAAGAAGCTTAATGTAGATTCTTTATTGATTCCATCAATGTCTTAGTAGATATGATAATAATAAATGGTACTTATACATTCTCTTAACCAAAAATATAACAAATATTTACACTCATTAAAAATACAAAAAGCATACAGAGGCACTGTCTTTCTAAAAGACATAAGTTTAAGAGGTATCAAAAAATAGGAGACAAACATTGCTTGTTACAGGAGACTTTACAATCACTGAATTGTGCAGTATAATTGCTATTTCCTTATTATAACTGTGCAGTTTGACTTTTGTATTTTGTTGTTAAGCTTACCTTTTGACTTTTAAATATCAACTGCATTCTGTGTATTAAAAATAAAGAAGCTTTAAAACAAAACAAAAACACAACAAAAAGTTCAAGAGATGAACTGGGGTTCAAGTTTAAACATGAAAATGTACTATGATGCTTTTCTGAAGATTTCTCCCCTTTTACTACCTTTTAAGGTACTGCTAAAGGGATACATCTACTTCATCAGCACAATTTTAAAAATATACAAGAGAGCTTTTCCTCTTCCTGCTTTTTATAGGGGAGAGGACACATTATAAAAACAGGGCTTGTTCTTAGAAAGAGTCTAGGTTAGCAGCCAGTTTGTGCCTATTAAGAGTCTCATACAGGTGACCGTGATGTGAATTATCTCCCTCATGAAAAACCATTAACAGTTTTTTGTCCTCAGTTAAGTATCAGATTGAAAGCAACCACTTGGAGGAAATTAGACTCTGTAACTTACAACAATTTTGTTGTATGGAAGCATCTATTACATTTACTAATTTTCCAAATCTATCATTATAAAGAGACTGCTTGGTAGAAACTTATTATTTGGCAGAAGTTTACAATGAGAGTTTACTGCTTCAATCATCCTAGCAGAGTTGTGGTGGGATGAGAGATTGATTACTAGCCTCTGCAGGAAAGTTACAAATTTATAAAATAAAAGCAAAACCAGGAAATTCAGAATTGGAATAAATACAGGCCTGGCATCTCTGTACCCTTCATTCAAACAATATAAAAATCAAAACCTCATTTTTTAAGGGCTACATATATATTAGACATCAAAGCATTTGGCTTTAGTTTCTGATCAATGTGATCAGCTGATTCAAATACAGTTAAAGCTAGATAAACAAAGGCAACTATAAAGGTTAAGTCCAAAATCACAGGCCTAAACTCTCAGTGCAAGATATCATTTACACCATTAAAGACAAAGATGATTAAGGCTTCCAACTGGTTTGAGAGACCTGCTAAATAAACAGATACTGTGCAAACAAGCCCATTTTTACGGTGTAACATTGCTATCATTTTATACTCATTAGAGATAAAATGGTGACAACAGATACCTAAACTAGATAAAAAGGTGGTTACAGAAAATACCTTTTGCTTTCTGTTTGCTGTGGACATGAATACAGTATGTGAAAATCACTGAAAGAAAAAATGTCTAACTTTCAGCTTTGTGTTCAGAGAACCACTGTTTTTAGGCCAAACACTAGTGTGACTCTCAAACCAGATTTATGGTTCATGATCCTTTCCATTTCAATGGATTAAGAAGCTATGGAGCTACCTAATCTCATTCTAATATACCTGGGTTAATTTCTAAGGCTTAAATATTCAATCTTTTCATTTTTTTGGGGGGGGGGGAAAGGGAGAACTTTTCAGACATGCTATTTTTCCTCAAATGAGGTGACAATCATATTGACGGGAAAGATTAACTACTACCGAGTGTTAATGCACCAGACTGCAAAGTCGTTTGAACTGCAAGGTTTACAGTTCAAGCTCACCAGCTGCTCCTCGGAAACCCTATACAGGTCTCTGTGGGTTGGAATTGACTCGACGGCACTTAACAACAACAAACCATTTAACACTTGGAACTGATTTATGATTTTAAGGTGAAGGGGATGGGATATAGAGGAGAAGGAAGAGACAGCGATGGAAAAAGAGAAGAAACTTCTACAAAGGCAGCCATGAACCAACTATATCTTATCATAAGGTCACATGTGGCCAACCTTTCAGAAGCAAATACATTTTGGCTCCAAGGTGATCTGGGCAGTGCATGCTACCCAGAGGCTTTGGCTTCTTTTTGGTAGTAACAGACATTTATTAAACTTCAATTGCTTTACACTTAAAAAACAACAAAAACACGTTAAACTTAAGATATAGAAAACACTGTCTTTAATTTTTAAAAACGTGAAAAATCTAGTTCATCCAGGAAACAATCACTGAAATTTTAATTAAATACTTAAATTACAAGACCCTATGCTGAATAGGCTGTTAAGGTGTGTCCTCAAAGGCTACCCTGAGAAACAAGAGATAATCATGACTATAATTCTAGCTCCTCTTTCTCTCACAATATTTTCTACCAATGATAGAGCTTTGAAGACTAAAATGCACTGCTGTGGGCATCCAAGTACTGCAGGACTGAGCTGGCCACAGCCTGGTGCCAGGACCTGTAGGGGTGGTACACTGCAGACCACTACAAAACCACGTTCTTCTCCAGGGTTACCACTCCTCACTATAACCACACTGTCTTTAAATAGAGAACTCAACACTTGAATTGTGAACATTTTGCATTTTGGGTTTCTATAGAGTAGAAAAATAACTCTCAAGAACCCATTTCCTAATTTGCTGGATTCGTACTTCCAATTATAATTAGATGTAGCATGATTTTCATTTAAGAGAAGAATCTATATATGTGTTTATATATATATATATATATATAATTTCCATTCTTTGGAAATCAGAGTTCCTGCCCCTCCCAATCCAAATGCACCCCTTTTCAAAAGAACTGACAAGAAAATAATACCAGCTTCATTTCGCCTTCTACACCGTGAGCAGGAAATGGTAGTATTTTCTTTCCTAACACCTTAACCTCAAAAGGCTTCCTATTCTAATCAAACTGAGACCCTACACTGCACTGGTGCAAAACAAGTGACAGCAAATCATCTCTGTAAAGACAGCAACTTCTGTTTGGTGAGCCCAGAGACAGTTTGATTGTCTTTAACTGACACTTCCACTAGCCAGAGCTCCCAAATATAACAATATCATAAAACTTCAAACAATAAGCTACTTTTCAATTGTACAAAAATATTCTTGGTGTTGGTAGACATTTTGAGTTTGTCCATTAGGCCAAGCTATGGCACAGAAAGTATAATAATACAACCAACTTAAATTGTTAAAGGAAAATTTATAGTGAAAAGCATCCGGATGACTCTGAATTTGAATCTGTTCTAGTAACTGTGGTCCCAAGGCAGATCTGGTGTGCAAAGTGGAGACATACGTGGCACAGCATCAACGGCTGAGGAAAGGCTACGCATCTGCAGGGATCAAATGAAAAGGAAGCATGACTCAATTCACTGCTCAGAACACAGGCACTGGAACCTCTGGGTCAACAGCAGCAGTGAGCCTGCAGAATCACAAGGGGGTGCTGTCCGCTCCTCCAGGGTTTTCAGTGGTTTTTAATGGGTCACCCAATGGCTAGACTGCTGAGACCTGTTCATCTTCTGGAAACAATAAACACATATTAGGTAGATAAGCATATTAATGAGCATCAACTGACAATCTAGTTATCAAGATTACTTCTGCTAAAAATCGTCAATTTCAATAAAGAAATCCTTTCAAATAGCCTATCAAGGCCCAGATTTTATTGTAAAGACACTGATGTTCTCTGATCACAGTGGAGGCTGGCAATAAGCCACAGTTTCATATAACTAGTTTCAATCACTGTACTCTGTTGTTGAAAAGGATACAACTTCCTTGATTTTTTAAAAAATAAAGCAAATTATTTTTCAAACTACTGTGACAAGTGCTAACGAGAGAAACTATGCCGAAGCATCATTTCAGATATTTCAGCATCTTGATGTTTGCTGTTTTAAGTTTCCATGCAATAATGTAAAACACAACTCTGTTAATGTCAAATGCCTCCTCCCAAAATGAACCCATTAGATCGAGCTGCAGTTCTACAACAAATAAAAATATTCTGGTTTAACCAGAAGCATACTGCTGCTGCCACACTGAGTCACTTCCGACTCAAAATGATCTCATATAGGGTTTCCGAGGCTATAAATCTTTACGGGAGCAGAAAGCCTCATCTTCCTCCCATGGAGGAGCTCGCAGATTTGAACTGCTGACTTCACAGTCAATACATAATTCACAATGCTACCAGGGCTCCTCAGAAATATATACAAGGCACATAGAAAAACGCAGGTTGCCCTCTCCATTTGGAAAACACACCATCATTTTTAGGGATTTCTTATTTTTTTAAAGATTTTGTGAAAAGATGTCTTATGAGACATTTAAAGAACCCATGACTGATTACCACAGCACACTACCATTTCACTTAAGAGCTATTAAGGTAGTTTGTCAACATACCATCTGCTTCGCTATCTGCGTCAGTCACATCTGCTAGTTTAGGATGGGATGGCTGCAACTTATGCCTCTGAGGCGGTGTTATAATCTTCGATGGAACACAGGCCACGGGGATGCTACTGAGAGGAGCTGGTGACAGTCTAGGGAGGTTGTTATGCATCATCTTTGACCTCTGCACTGCCACACTATACTCTGGAGGTTTTAGGTGCGGGTGGGGTCCTTCCTTTAGGTCCGCTAAAGAAATCCCCATGTATCCTGGAGGAGTTGGAGGTGGCTCCCTATACCTATCGTCCTTCTTGGGTGAGGTGACACAGTACACTGGCATGAAAAATAATCAATGGAAATGTTAATGAAAAATAAAAAACAAACAAAAAAATCCCAAACATTGAAACTTATTACAATGACAAAAGAGAACTTAAAAACAGACAACATGAATCAAATTTGGATACACTGACACTAAATGAAAAATGCTTTTTAAAAGTTTAAACTTAATATTTAAACCTGTTTTTAAAGCACCCTCCAAAACCAGACCAAGCCTACTGCCACAAATGTCAATTCCAACTCAGAACTACCCTATAGGTAGGGTAGAACTGCCCCTCAGGGTTGCCTCATCTTTCTTCTGAAGAACAGCTAGTGAATTGGAACCACCAACTTTGTCGTTAGCAGTCCAATGCTTAACCCACAGCACCACCAGGGATCTCTTTGAAAATATCTATTGACAAATGACATTAAGTTTTACAAACATGAAATTGTATGCGCGCTGAAGGAGATGACAGTGACTAGCTAATGTAACACTAGTCCAAAGACTGAGTCAGAAACACTAAAGAGTTTGCACTAAACACCTGCTTTCTGTTGGCTAACAGGGCTTTCAATAGAAATGATATCTGGCCCATCTGTTCAAGGGCTGTTTCACCGTGTGTCTGAGACATGGACCACTGCTTTCTAGCATTCCTGGGCAGACTAGAGCTCTCAGCGCCGGCACATATACAACTTTAACTTTCCTGATACAGAGGAACTTATCCTCCAAGGACCTTACTTCTAACTTCCATTTTGTGATTTGGTGATGAAGAAAAAAAGGGAATTTTAGGCAATGCATAAATTAATGAAGTTTTCTTGATTTTCAATGGTGACTGTAAATTCTTTTCTTAAATTTGTAATCCCTGGGACTGAATAGAGGCATCAAAAATAGGTTAGACAAAGAGGAAGCTCCATGAAATTAAGACCAATCCATAAACCCCTGGGATAAATGTCTCTGAATATCTTGATCATGCAAATGACTTTTTTTTTTTAAACTACACTGTATAAAATCAGTACATATTTTAAAAAGGACAATTAAATTAATTCTAATATTATTATTTCTCCCTTTAGAGATTTACGCTTGTCCAAATGAATTTGCAAGCAATACCAAGGCCAGAAAGGACTTTCAGTCACATCTGAGGACAGGAGTTTGGGTGCAGGTAAGGAACTGGCTTGCCAAGGGAAGTGAGACAACAAAAATGAAGATTGTAAGTGATTTGCCAGATTCATCCGAAATCAAAGAAATGAAAGATTGTATCTGTTTTTCTAAATACACAAGTACTAGGTTTCATGTCCTTGCATGTACATGATTACATATACCTATAATGGTTACCTAGAAGATTTTAATTAAAAAAAAAAACCTTAGAAAAGGTAAAAGAGCTAAAAACCTCATTCTATAATACAATTTGACAAGTAACTGTAAAATCATTCGCACCTTTCCCTTTCTCATATTTAGTAATTAAATATAGTATCATGAATATTCTATAAAATTAAGAACTAGGAAAATATTGATGGAAAATCAAGTCTTTCCACATAAATAAAAAGCAGGTACTTTATATCTAGCTATTTATATAGTTCAGGGAAGAAATTATTTTAAAAAGAATTTGATAGCTAAATAAAGCAAACTGTGTGCATGATTTGAATAGGGTCCACACATCTGTGATGTGCACTAGAAGGGTACATTAGAAAGTTTTCAATTTCCTTATCACATTTTCTCCCACATTTACTACCTAAATATAATATCAGGTTCTACATTCCTACCATGTCTGCATAGCAACAGTGGTCCAAGCAATTTATAAGGTGAGAAAGAGAACCATTCCTTTAATGCAATGATATTTTTACAAGAAAATAATCTCAAAAATAAAACAAAGCAAGACACACAAATCTGTTCCCCTAATTAAGTATCCTCACCAGTTTTTTTTGTTTTGCTTCATTTTACTAGACTTGAGTACCTACCCGAGTCCTCTTAAGAAGTCACTAACGTTTTGGAAATAATTGGCTTAGAGGGAGGAATGAGAGATTAGAGTGATAGAAGGAATTTCCATAAGAACAAAATTCTGGGCCAATATATCCCCAAACACTATTTTCATCACATAATCTCTAAGTGCCACAGATATGACAAAGGATACACAACTTACCAATTAAGCCCTTTTTTGTACTTGAAGTGACAGTTTTATAAATGGGGTCAGAGCCATCCCTGGCATCCAAGCCTTCAGATGACTCAATTGGGGTATTCTCCAAGACTCTCCGTTTCACTGTCCCATAGTTTGGTTCACATGTGTCAGACAGAGAACTAGAGGAGGCCCAACTCTGTCTCAACTGATTAGTCTCAAGGCTTCCTTGACACTGACCACAAGTCCTAGAGCAGCCTTTAGGGCAGGAGTAACGCTCACAGTCAGTAGGTTCAACTTCAGCAATGGGGCCATCCAAATGGGTATGTCGATAGGAGTTTAAGAAATCCCAGCTTTTGGGGTTTGGAAGGTTTTGGAAATTGTCATGGGAACTGCTTGAACAGGAGGTCCAACTCCCACGACCACTGTCAGCTGCTTCTATAATGATATGCTCATGAGAAATCTCTTCATTGCTCATAGAAGACGACACAGCTAAACCCTTGATTAGGGATGGCTTCGAGAGTGCCCACCTAAAATAGGAGAAAATACATAATTAAAGGTTATTTACTGGCTTACTGGAAAAACGTTCTTCCACTGCAAGAATTACTGAGCACAAGAGACTACTAAATATGTATCACAGATCCTCATGCTGGAATAACCCCATGAAATTAATGACACTAGGCTTGTTGTGAAGTGCTGTAGAGTCGGTTCCAACCCATAGTGACCCTGTATAGGGTTACCAAGGAACGATTAGTGGGTTTGAACCATTGACCTTACAGTTAGCAGTCCAGTGCTTATCCTACAGTGCCACACTAGGTCTCCTGAGCTTAGTATAGTGCCTGGCAAATAGTAAGTTACTCCAAATAGCTATTACATGAAGCTATCATTTGGAACAAGGGTCCGTACACTAAAATTCATGGGTCAAATTTAGCCAACTGCCTGTTTTTGTATTGTTTAGAACAAAGAATGATGTTTATATTTTAAAAGGGTTAAACCAAACCACAACCAAGTAATTTGACATAGAAACCAACTACGGCCTGCAAAGCCTAAGGCTTACTATCTGGCTCTTGACTACAAAAAAAAAAAAAAAAAAGAGAAATGTTTGCTGTCCGGTACTGACTGCCAGTGACTATAGCCCACAGACGAAATCTGGCTATGTGCCATGCCCCACTGCTCATGTGTTGTCTATGGTTGCTTGGTGCAATAATGGCAGAGTGGAACAGTTGTGATGAAGAGCATATAAGCTGCAAAGTCTAAAAATATTTTACTATGGAGCTATGAGTTAATGCACTGAACTGCATTGTTGGTTTAAACTGCAAGGTCAGCGGTTCAAGCTCACCAGTTGCTCCTTGGAAACCCTATACAGGGTTGCTATGAGTCAGGACAGACATAATGACACTTAACAACAGCAACAACTAAACCTTTACAGAAAGTCTGATTATCCATTATATAGAAAATTTCCATTTACAAATCTTCACAATATGATTCTAGTGTTTTACCATAATTATTTTATATGAAAAACAAAGGATTTAATAATATTCATCAGTTTTGAATCACCTTTATCAATGCTTTTTCCAAGATTACCATTCTACTTGAATGCAAATAGAAATCTGAGTTGAATTTTGCTAGTTGATTCTTCTTACGCCCCAGATCAAGCACTGGCCCTACGTTCCCAGCCTGTCTACAGAGTGCACAGCACAGGGGGACCTCCCATTCCTCTTCACCTTTTTGAGCAATTTCTGATCTAACAGCCAGAAGTTTTAAGAATCACCTCCTCACATTAATAGTTCTTACTGATCCAAACGAAACATAGTAACTGGAAAGTACCACACATTCAGTAACACTTAAAAAAAAATGAGTACCTATACATCTTTGAAAATTACTACTGATTTCCATATTCAGTATAGAGAAGATATACTTGGTCTACACAATCGTTCATGGATTGCCTTCCATGGGGAGCTACGGGTACAGTGGAGATCACTGCCTGCAGTGACCAATTGGCTTGGATTGTGTGATATGAACACCAGTAAGACATTTACCCAGGGCCTAGCTGGCTATGGTCTCCTATCGCCGAGTGGTGCTCTGTCTTTTCCAATGCCCCAGTGGGTTCAGGGACCGTCAGAACCTGGGAGGAACACCGATCCTCCTGTAGTGCTGCAGACATGGAGTCAACAGAACAATTGCTCACGATGCTGGACCGTGAAGAAATCTCGCTATGACTGGAGTCGGAAAAGTTGTCAGATTTAGCTGATGGTGTAAGTGTATAACCTGAATGAGAGAAGAACAGCAATCAAACTACAAACCAAAGAAATGGACGGGGGTAGGGTGAGGGAGAAAACAAAGAAAAACATGGAAAGATTAGGGGTGCCACTTTTAATGACCACACATTCCCATATACATCCATTCACCCGCCTACCCTCACCAATCCAACTCCTAGTTCAAGAAATAGAAGGTCACCATCCAGTATTACTGAGGAAAAAAAAAAAAAAAATTGAGTCCAAATGTGTATCTGCTTAAGCTACAAACATTTACTAAAACATAAAAGAATTAAATATACGAAATTTTAAAGCAGATTTTTTTTTTTTTTTTAAACCCACAGTCCCTCCTCTGATCTGCTCTGATCTGAAGGTCTAAAATATCACCTTGTGCTAAGGGTGAAATTTGAGAAGCAGGACTCAAAGGAAAGAATTACTTTTGATTTTTAAAAGAATTTAAAACTTCAGGCATACCTCATTTTATTGTACTTCACTTTACTGTGCTCTTCAGATTCTGTTCTGTGTTTTTGTTGTCCCCCTTTTTTTTTTTTTTTTAAGCAAATTGAAGGTTTGTGGCAACCCTATGTTGAACAAGTTTATCAGCTCCATTTTTCCAACAGCATGTGCTCATTTCATGTCTGGGTCACATTTTAGTAATTCTCACAATTCTTTCATAATGCTATGTGGCACTGTAGAATAAGTACTAGATTGCTAACTGCAAGGTTGACGGTTCAAACACACCAACTGCTCCTTGGAAACCATATATAAGTCAGAATCGACTTAGAGGCACTTAACAACAACCATAACATTGCATACAACAGACTAGAGTTTAGTGAAAACAAACTTTTATATGCACTGGGAAATAAAAATAATGAGTGTGACTTGCTTTATTGCAGTGGTGTGGAACTGAACCTGTAATATATCTCAGGCGCTCTTGTTGCTAAGTACTGCCAAGTCAGTCCTGCTCATAGCAACCCTATATGGGATTTCCGAGGAGGACCTGGTGGGTTTGAACTCTGAACTGTGAGGTTAGCAGCCCAGTGCTTATCTTACAGCGCCATACCAGGATTCAATCTCTGACGTATGCCTATACAGATACTTCTCCCAGACACTCTGCTTCTTACACCTAAGAAGTCCTGCCTCAAGTGGAGAGTCACGATTTTAGTATGTAGTATTTTTAAATAAATCATTTTAGATTTGGACTAAGTATAGCTAGTTTCCCTTTTTTCACAAACTCTGTACATTATCATAGTAAAAAACTCAATTGACAGATTTATAGGGGGAAAAAGAGTCAATCTTAGTTTTTAGAATTGTTTTAAACTGTTCTACGACTTGAACAACAAAAAAGGAGTTCTGGTGTGATGCACTGGATTGCTAATCACAAGGTTGGCAGTTCAAAGCCACCAATCACTCCTCGGAAACCCCATACAGGGTTGCTATGAATGGGAACAGACTCGACAGCATTAACAATAACAACAACAACATGAATTTAAAAAGACCAGGTTTCCTGGTCAAATCAGAGACTGGTGTAACCCTTGAGACTACGGCCCCATAGCCACCCTCAGGTCTGGAAATGAACTCACTCCTATGGCCCAATATATTAAGCCAAACACCAGACAGCTCTCTAAGAGAAACAGTAACATTAGTGAGGTATATACACCTTAGAATTAATGAACCATGTGAGAAGAAAAGGGCAGCATTTGCCCACTGACAAAGTTCAGAATGGTTAGGAAAGAGGAGGAATGAAAATGGGAAAAACAGGAAGTGGGTAAAGTGGTGTTTCATTGTAGGGATTGCAAATAATGACATGAACCAAAATGTGTCTAAATTGTTAAATGGAAAATTGATTTGCTCTGTTAACCTTCTGATTTTTAATAATAAGTTTTAAAAAAAAGTTCTATAACTGAGTGCACAACAGGTAACTAAAGGTTTTCTTTTGTCTTTTTTGGAATGCAGGGGTGGGGATGGAGTGAAGGAGAAGCATCTGAAAACAAATCTGGAGCACCCATTAAATGTACACAATAATCTATCTTGATAATTTGAAGAAAAGAAACCAAACTTGGTTTAAAATTACATGTTCCAGTAATCTTGACAAGGGAAAGGTCTCAGAGAAGTAAACAACGTCCTCTTATTAGCAGAAGAGAATGAGGTTCAACAGGTAGAGGAAGTTGTACAACCAGTAATTACGAACCAACCTGGTAAATTTTATTATATTAAAAATTCAAGGTATGTGAAATGATTCGTAATAACAAATGGGCACTACATTGTAACACACAGAAAGACAGACATTTGACTGACTGAAGTTTGATACAAACCATAGAACTGCTTTGACTTAAAGGCAGATGTAGGAAGGAAGCTTGTTAGTAATCCAGGGACTGCCTGTACATGACTTTTGAACAGTCCTTAGAAATCTCACTAAGAACTACAAGCTTTGAGTATGTTACTGGACTTCTCAAGGCCACATCTTCAGATGATACAACCACAAACGCTAAAAGCGAAGAAGATTTGAAGTACTTAGTGATGAAAATCAAAGACTAAAGGTTTCAGTATGGGTTGTTGTTGTTGTTAAGTGCCGTGGAGTTGGTTCCGAATCATAGAGACCCAGGGTGTACAGGGTTTCCGAGGCTTTAAATCTTTACGGGAGCAGAACACCTCATCTTTCTCCCGCGGAACTGCTGGTAGTTTCAAACTGCCGACCTTGAGGTTAGCAGCCCAATTCGTAACCACTACACTGCCAGAGCACCTTTCAGTATGGGTTACACCTGAACAAAAAAACCCAAAATCCTTACAACTAGACCAATAACAACACCATGATAAACAGATAAATGAATGAAGGTTTTTAAGGATTTATTTTATTTAGACCCACCATCAATGTCCATGGAAGCAGCAGTCAAGAAATCAAATAAGAGACGGTATTGGGCAAATCTGCTGCAAAAGACCACTTCAAAGTTAGTGTTAAAAAGCAAAGATGTTACTTTGAGGACTAAGGTGTGCTTAACCCAAGCCATGTGTCTCATGATCATGCTTTTGTAAAGCTGGACAATAAATACGGAAGACCAAAGCATTGATGTCTTCGAATTATGGTGTTGGCAAAGAATACTAAATATTATCATGGACTACCAAAAGAATGAACAAATCAGTTTTTTAAGAAATATGATGAGAATGCTCCTTAGACTTCATCTCATGTACTCTGAACATGTTATTCAGGAGGGACCAGTCCTGAAGGACATCATGCCTGGGAGAGGGTCAGAGAAGTAGAGAAAGACCCTCAATTAGAGACAGTGACATGGTCGCTGCAATGGGCTCAAACACAGCAATAAATGTGAGTGAAGATGGCGCAGGATGGGTAAGTATATCTGTCTGTTGTACACAGGGTTGGTACGAGTCAAAATTGACTCAATGGTACCTAACAACAACTAACAGGTTCATTATACATAAGCTGAGGAAGGCTACAACATAAGATCCAAGGTCCTTCTCTGTTTTAAGGATCTTAGAGTTTACTCACATGCAACTCTTCAGAAAGCAATGTTGTTAAGAACTCTCATTAACAATGTGAAAGAGAAAAATTAAGCCCCAGAAAATGTGTGATGTGTGCACAGCTTTTGGAGCGAGGAACAAGCCAAGCCAAGCAAAACCAGCCTCCTAACTTCTAACCTAGTTTACTGTTTCTCAGGGTCCTTCATGAATTGATTAGTTTTCAAGAGGCTGAAGAAAATTAGCGCAGCAAATGAATACAATTTAAAAAATTCTTCCTTAAAATAAAAATCATTACTTTTTTTTATCCTAAGGATAAACAATAAATAGATTTGCTTCATGGTTTTAAAATACTTTCATTTCTATGTCTGATAGATGAGTATTTTGCAGAAGTAATTCAAAGAATCACCTGGGAAGAAGTTTAGTAAAATAAACCTTCCTGGGCTTGTCTCTGGCAATTCAAGTTGACAAAGTCTGGGTGGGACACACTGATTACATTTAAAATAAATTAAACACAGATGACTGTGAACTTGCTATGTTAGTCTCTCCTCCTCTCCCATCAGAAATACGTAAAAAAAGTAGACATAAGTGTATGTCGACAAGTAGTAGTTTCTTGCTTCTCACATACTTCTTTCTCCTTTAGCTTGTAAAGTATTTGAAGAAATAAGATAGCAATAAAAATCTCTGTTCCACTAATTCTGACCAGATTATTTTTGGGGGCTTTATGGTTAAAGTCAACACTGGTTTCTAACAAGCTTTCTCAATTCCGTTCAGTCACAGACCCAGCTGCTACCAAGAAGAAATACAGCCAACTACAGAAGACAAGAACATAATGTTTACTAACTCAATACAGTAGCAAATAGCATTATATAAATAAAGCATTTTATTTTGTTGCTAGAGGACCTTAACACTAGTCATGAAATGCTCATAAATATTTTACTAAATTGTCTGCCTTGACTTGTTTGACAAATGACTTAATTTATAAGCTACATTTACATTAATAACTTAAAACAAATTTAACACTAAAATTAAATAAGAAACTTTGTTCACAGCGTCTTTCTCCTTTTACACTTGAATCTTGTATAGAAGCAGTTTAAAGCGTTACTGGAGCTGTGATTCCCTTTCTCATCTTTGATGTTGCTTCCAACATCCTTTACTTTCTCACAGCTTTCTGTAGCTTGATTGTGATCTGCGTCCTCTTTTCTGCTGTTGACTAGTCTCTCCCTTGAAAGAGTTCTTTCCCTAAATCTTCTAAACGGGGATGTCATTCTTTTCCTGGCTGTGTTCTCACAACTTGTCCTGTCTCTATTCTCCTCAGTGGCCTTCTCGGTCCTGTCTGTTCTTTTGGCTGTGCTCTTGGTAATCTGAAGAATTTTCTTTTGCAAGTAAACCCCGCCTATTCCAGGACCGCTCTGGCCACTGATCATGGTGCTGGACTCAGAGGGAGGGGATGAGGAGGGCCCTGAGAGGCGCAGCAGGATGCTGTGATCAGATATGATACTGCCAACTGGAGGGAGAGATGCAAAAACCCTGACATGGTCAATTAGTTCTTTCCAATTAATCACAATTAACCTGGTTTATATAACATTTCACTATTTAAAAGATTCTAACATCTTGACAATATCTAAAACAGTGAAATCTAGCAACATACTTTTTAATGCACAATCTACAATATAAACATACCAGTCATTTCAAGATAGAACACAGGAGAGTGATTCACCTTGATCAAAACAAGCTACTAATAAAATACTTAAAAGCAAGCAAAGTTGACAAAATCATATGGCAATATATAACAAATGTCATATGACTAGAATTATTTTTTAAAAATAATTGTGTATCTAAATTTTTCTGGCAGATTTTGCTTTTTCTTAAGCTTAGTCAACACCAACTAGGATATATAAATAGCATATACAACAGATGTGTTTATAAAGTACAACTTCTGATACTGTTGTATCTCTGAGGTGGAGAGGCCTTATTCCTTATACACTGGGAAGAAGAAACCTTAAGGCCTAGCTTTTTTAAAGCTTTGGTTTGTGTAAATTTTCCTTGTGAAAACAGAAGATAGGTCTATCTTTGTTAACCACTGGGAAACAAAAAACTCATTTTGAAGTTTAGCAGAACTTGGAATAGACCCTACTAATATACTCTTAGTATAATAATGACATTTTCATTCAATCACAGACTACTGACAAAAATTTATCAATGGAAACAAATAGAGACACAGCACTTGGTTGGATTTTTGATAAAATATAGAGAGCATTAGAAACAACTTAAAGAGAAAAATTTCTTAAGTTTTGAAACGTAACTATTTAACAGGTTCACAAATCTATAAATCCCATGCTCAACTGTTAGCCACATATTGAAATATACCACAGAGAAAAAAACTTTTTTATTCCAGTGATGAGAATGGAATTTCTGTTGAAAATGGGAGCAGAGGGGAATTCCTGTTCCTACCTCTTCCCTACTAGTCATATTCAAGTTAAAACCCAACTGGTTTCCTGGACAGATATTTGTCTATAATAGTTATCTTGCAAAGAGGAGATGGGTGTAAAGGCATCAGTGGAAGCACATAAAGAGCATAGGATTTTTGCTCACTTGGACCGTCTTTCTGACTGGAAGCATTGTTCTGCTTCGTGAAATCTGATAAAAGGTATGTGGATAGGACCATATTAACAAGTAAAGAAATAGGTCTGTGTGTCTCACAAAATCATGTATGAGTTACAACACCTATTAGGCAGTCCCTGACTTAACAATACTTCAGTTACAAAAACTGCATTTATTATAGTCTGTTTTTATTGTGTGTGTACATCTTGTTGTTTGTAATATATACTATATATAGTTAATGCTGCAGCATGCAATTTTGCTGATATTATTCTCAGAGGTTCATTCACAGATGTTCGGTGTTATGATTTACTGTAAAAAAATACTACCATAGTCTATGAAAACTTGAAAAAGAGGTATTTAAGTTGGGACTACCTGTAGACTATTTACATGTTCTAGTAGATTTTTACAAAGCTTTTCTAATTAAAATCAGAGGGCAAATTCTAGCCAGTCTCAGCTATACAAAGTGAAGAGAGGGCAGGTGAATAATGGAGGTATGTTACTTCATCTAAGGGTGGGTTCAGGAAAGATGAGACATTCTAATTTACCAAATGTTTACTAAACATCAGCCTTTAAAAATATGATCTCTTATGAGGCCCCTAAAGTTGGTGGTCTTTTTTCTCAAATGACAGGAAATTTGACTGTCTAAGAAAGCTGCTCACATAGTTACTGAGGGGCAGTGCCAGAATTCAAATTCAGGTCTGGTGCCACCATGCCACCCAGGTGATAAAACTAAGATGAACTTTAGAACACATGAGTTGAGGCAAGCTTTGAAAGTTTCTCCCTCCTACTAGAATTCATAAGTTTGTTCTCTCTGATCATGTACTATCCTGTGCTGTTATTTAAAGATGCAATTCTTTTGCATATGTAAAAGAAGACACAGGACTAAGGCGCCTGTTTTCTAGGGTACACCAAGTGTGGCGGGCCCAAAGTAAGAAACAGTCACCCCGTTAATGTGCAGGTAACTTGAAATAACATGCAACACCTACATGCAAATTACTCAGGCTAGTCAAGGAGCTTCAATTTTGCATTTTGAGAAAAACATATTAAAGAACAAGAAAGATTGCAGACATTTCACCTCAAGAGGTTCAGTGTAAGTGAAAATATAAAAATCTATAAGAGCATAGATTATTTTAAGTCCTGGTTTTAAAAAAACTAATATTCCATTACTAAAGCAATAAATCAACCTAAGTATTTTTTTTCCCCCTAAACCCTGCAGCTTGTTAAAAACAATTTATTTGTAAGCCTCCATAAATATACTTACATACTAAAAATCTGAATGATAGTAACATCAAGAATCTACACAGAACAAAACAACTGTGAATTCTGCCTTCATTCTTACTTATGTTTGTCCTCTGTCAAAAACATTAAGGACAGTACTTTAAATGCCAGAGTCCTTACTATACGATGTATAATACCTGGAACACATCTGAATACAAGCAGTCCCTGGATTATGAACCAGATCCCCTCCTAAATCTGTCTTTAAGTCAAATTTGTATGTGTACATCAGTTAGGTATAGTTTATATCTAATGTCAGTGAAATATCTATCTTAATATATAGTATACTTTCTCTATATAAAAAACATTATATTGTGTACTTTCTATGCATTGAAAACATTAAAGACACACTTCCAGATAGATGAAAACATCTCTAACAAAATAATAATAATGTGTTGATGTACACTATAAAGCAGCGCCCCTCTGTTAGTATGAACCATTGCATGTATCTTGAATCTTTAATATAATAGGCTTTAAGAGGTTTGCTTTGCAACTAAACATGGAGGTTATACTAAGCTGGGACATTCATAATCCGGGGACTGCCTGTAATTAAATTCAAAACAAAAAATTTTTTAAAGTCTTATGGGTTACACTTTGCCTCATACTTTCCATTATAGCTATAGATTAAAAAGTAAAATATGTGCTAAAAAGTGTTGTTTGATAGAATATGAATAGCTTACCTTTGCGATGGGAACCTTGAGGAGAAGCAGGAGGACTAGAATGTAAGGATGATGCCACAGAAATTGTGTCTTCTGTATGCTTTCTACCACTGATTTCTTCAGTTGTTCCTATTACTTTCTGAGGTAAACTTGTACCTAAAAATAAAACCAAAGGAGTAAATAATGATCATTTTGCAATTATAAGGTTCACAGCTGCCTAAATTGCTATATAACTAAGGCCATGATGTGCAATAATTGAAATGTATCGATGACAAAAGGAGACTAAATGACTGGGTAATGGTATACAGAGATTCTCACCTCTAGGTCATTTAATCAAATCCAAATGGTTAGAACAAATCAGATTTTAAGAATTATTTTTTTGATTGATTGCTTTAGGGCATAAGGGAAATCAATTTAACATTGAGTACAGTGCCCCACCTCCCACAATTGACATGCTTGTTTGAAGTATGAATACAATGTTTCCATGTTCTGTTCGAACAACTGCCTCTTGGTCCAGGTACAGATTCCTCATGAGCACAATTAAGTGTTCCGGAATACTAATACTTCGCAATGTTGTCCAGAGCTTGTCATGATCCACACAATCAAAAGCTTTTGCGTAGTCAATAAAGCACAGGTAAACATCTTTCTGATATTCTTTGCTTTCAGCCAAGATCCATCAAACATCAGCATGACATCCCTAGTTCCACAGCCTCGTCCGAATCCGGCTTTAACCTCTGGAAGTTTTCTGTCAATGTATACTTGCAGCCATTTCTGTATTACCATTAGCAAAACTTTACTCATATGAGATAGCAAAGAGATTTTCCGATGATTTCCGCATTCCCAAAGAGAGGTTGGGTCACCTCTCTTTGGAATGGACACAAATACGGATCTCTTCCAAGGAGTTGGACAGATAGTTGTCTTCCAAATTTCTTGGCAGAGATGAATGAGTGCCTCTAGTGCTGCCTCACTTTCTTGAAAGATTTCAATTTTTATTCCATCAATTCCTGGTGCTTTGTTCTTTGCCAATTCCTTCAACGCACCTTGGACTTCCTCCTTCGGTATCATTAGCTCTTGATCATATGCTACCTCTTGAAAGAGTTGAACATTAACCATTTCCTTTTAGTACAGTTACTCTGTGCATTCCTTCCATCTTTTTTTGATGCTTCCTACATCAATCAATAATTTGCCCAGAGAATCTTTCAATAACAAAAGTCGAGTCTTGAATTTTTTTTTTTAGTTCCCCCAGAGCTTGAGAAATGCTGAGCGTGTTCTTCCTTTTTGGTATTCTGATTTCAGATCTTTGCATATTTTGTTGTAATATTTGGCTTTATCTTCTTGAGCTGATCTTTGAAATTTTCTGTTCAGCTCTTGGACTTCCTCAGTTCTTCCATTTGCTTTAGCATCTCTTCGCTGGAGAGCAAGTTTCGGTGTCTCTTCTGACAACCATTTTGACCTTTTCCTTCTTTCTTGTCTTCTTAATGACTTTTTGTTTTTTTAATCTATGATGTTCTTGACATCATCCTACAACTCCTCTGGTCTTCGGTATTTAGTGTTTAATGTATCAAATCTGTTCTTCAGATGATCTCTAAATTCAGGTGGGATATATTCAAGGTCAGATTTTGGCTCTCCTGGACTTGTTTTCATTTTCTTCAGCTTCAGTTTGAAATTTGCCTATGAGTAATTGATGGTCTGTTCCACAGTCTGCCCTGGCCTTGTTTTGACTGATGATATGGAACTTTTCCATCATCTCTTTCTGCAGATGTAGGCAATTTGATTTCTATGTATTCCATCTGGAATACCTGTCTAGTGTAGGTTAAATGAAGCACAGCATTTTTCAATATACTGACATTTTCACATACAAGTATTTCTTCTCCAAGAAATGTCAAAGAGCTTTTGACATTGTTCTTGACCAGTAAAATAAGCACAACTTTGATAAGTAACAAAATAATAAGCCACCTAACACTGAAAAAGTTTCAATCACAGTGTATCCACACTACCCTATAATTAAAATGCCATTTTAATATATTTATAATAAAAATAGAAAGCACATTACAACAGAAGGGAAGAAGGCTGCCTCATATAAATCATACTGCCTTTCAGGGAATGACACCAAGTGAAAAACCAGATGTGGGTTCTTGCCCTCTCTCCTTTTGTCAATTTTGTATCCAATGCTCTCTTCATTTACATAGCCACTAAACCAGTGCAGGTGTGAGACCCCTGTGATTAACCGTTATACTAGCTTTCCATCTGAACTCTCTGCCATCCAGTCTTACTGCCCTTCCTACTACAGTCTTTCCTGTTAAATATAAATTGGATTATAACCTCCTCTTGCTCAAATCTCTTCAAAGTGAAGAGTGAAAATTCTCTTCTAGCATTGTTGTTTGTTTAGTGCCATCAAGTCGATTCCAACTCACAGCGCCTCTTTATAGGGTTGAAGAGTGGCTGGTGAGTTTGATCCGCCAACCTTACAGTTCAAACCAACCTTGTGGTCTAGTGCTTATCCTCCAGATAGATAGGTAATTCTGACTTACCTATCTATCCTTGCACAATTGTTCATCTTGAGAGGCTGTGTGTTAGTGGTTAAAGAGTGAACTCCGGAGTCTTACTGAAGTCAAGTCAACTAATAGTGAAGTACGCTTCATCGCTTACTGGTGGTGTGTAAGTTACTTACTCTCTGGATGCTTCCTTTGTAGAATGAGGGTAAAATACCACCTATCCTATAGATTATAATCTGAAGACTAAATGAGTTCGTGTATGGAAGTAACTAAAGCACTTAAACTGTGCCTGGCACTCCGTGTTACTATCATTATTACTGCTTCTCAACACTCTGCATGCAGCTTTGTACTCAGAGGAGGCAAACAGGATATGGTTCCTTGCAGATGCCAAGCTGTTTCCTGTGCATGAAGCAACTTCCCTGGACCCTTTGCCTTATATCAGTTGCCACAGAATTGATTCTAATTCAAGGCAACTCCGTGTATATCAGAGTAGAAATGTGCTCCATAGGATTGTCAATGGCTGATTTTTCAGAAGTAGATCACTGGGCCTTTCTTCTGAGATGCCTCTGTGTGGACTTTAACTTCTAACTTTTTGGTTATAGCAGCCAAGTATGTTGACCATTTGTACCACCCAGGATCTGGTTGCCAGTTACTTTCTTCTTAATCAATCTGTAAGAGTCCATGTATGGTGCTGTAGGAAAAGCACGGACCACAAAGTCCGTTTGAACTGCAAAGTTGGCAGTTCAAACTCACCAGCTGCTCATTGAAAACCCTATACAAGGTCATTATAAGTTAGAACCAACTTGATGGAATTAACAACAACAATTAGATTCTGCTTAGATGTAATCTCCAAGAAGTCTTCTCTAAAGCCCCACTTTACCTCTGCCTGGGCTACAACACTCCTCTCCTTTGCTCTTTTATATGTTTGGTATATGACCCTGGCACAACAGCAAACCCACTAGAGTGAGGTTATGTTATCTTGACTAAATCACCAGACTGAAAATCTGGCAAAGGAGGGAATGCCTTTTATACACCTTTGTATATCAAAACAAAATCAAATTAAATTCAACAAGCTCTGAGTATGTATTAGGTATAAGGCATGGCATAAACTAATGCTAGGAAACAAATCTAATCTAGCTCCCAACCTGAAAGCTAAAATAGTGATACTATTAAAACAAAGTAATTTTTGGATAATGTCATCAGAGCATGAAGAGGGGGGTAAAAAGTGTGACTTATGAGAAATACATATTGTACACTGTCTTCTTTACATAACTAGGTTTTCAGAAGTGAAAAACGAACATATAACCAGTTGTAGAATAAGCATCTTCATTCTCTTTGGTTTTTACAGGCTGCATGTGCATTGGATTATTTGATAAATGTCCTATCAAGCTTTGACTGCAGTAAGCCCTTAGCACCAATGATGTATGTTTGCAAGTTTTCTGTAGATATAATCTATAAAGATTTCAGCATTAGAGGACTTTCAATGTCAGAATTTAACAAATGCATGCTATGTGGCACAGCAGGATAAGCACTGCAAAGTTGGTGGTTCAGACCCACCAATTCACTTTTTGAAAACCCTATACGGTGTCCCTATAAGTCAGAACTGACACAATGGCACTTAACATCAGTAACAACAAATGCTGTCTTCAAACACCTGCAGACAAAATGAAACACTTTTTTGATTCAAGAAGTGACCCTGTACAGAGCTTCCTGAGTAATTAATTTGTGATTATTTTTCATCCTAATTCCCTCATAATTTCTATGAAATGAATGTGAACAATGGTGAATACTCACTCAATGCGACAGGGTCTTTTGTTTGACCCTTCTTCCTGATGGGATGCAAATTAACAGCTGGTACCTGAAGAACTTGGCTTACTCTGTGGGGCTGAGGCAAGTGAGCTTTGGCTGTTTGGCCAGCTGACCTCAGAGGCAAAGGAGACATTTCTGATGATTTGGCTGATTTTTTATCACTTAAATTCTTGGTCACTATTAGGAGAGAGTGAGAAACACATTATTTTGTATTTTTTTAGGGAGAAGTTATTACCACTGACAGTAAATTTACTTGAAAACCATCTTATTTTAACACAAAAAAACCTTCTTAAAAGGAATTTCATTTAAGTATAGAATGTTACCTCTAAAATTTTTATAGAATGTAAATCTGATTTCCTAAATAATTATTGAATTCACTAACTTACTTATTTCCATTTCCACCATCACCCTGCAAACCAAGTAACATCTTGTCATCCATACTACTGAAGCAGTATCCTCATTATACCAATTCTAGCTTCTCTTTAAGCTTTTCTCTCTACAACAGCAGACACTTCCAAAATGAAAACCTGATTACTTCCCTTCTTCACATGCCCTGTAAAAACCTTTAGATGATTATCACTATCACTGCTCTCAGGATAAAGATCTCAGTCCTTAAAACAAGGCCTAGTATAGGTCCTGCAGGATATATATAGGACCACCCTGCACATTGGGCCAACCCCATATTCTCTTTCTGTTAAAATCAGCCTGGTTTCACTCCCTAAGCCAGGAAGTTCCCTTCACCTATGTAACTCCAGTACCATCATTCAAATAACGTCCTCACAAACCCCAGGGAGCCCTTCCCTAACTTCTTATAGTCTGTAGTGACTAGATTGGACTCCCATTTTATGTTCTCATGACATCCTGTATCTTTGCTACACAGTGATCAGCATAATTTGTAACGTCATTATCAGTGTGATTAATCAATTAACGTTTGTTTCCCCACTAGGCTGTCCAAAAAAACCCAACTTACTGTTGTAGAGTCTATTTTGTGTCTTAGCAACCCTACAGGGCAGAGTAAAACTGACTTATAGGGTTGCCATGGCTGTAAACCTTCATGGAATCAGACTATCACATCTTTGTTCCATGGAGCAGCTGGTGGTTCAAACCACCAATCTTCTGGTTGCTAGCCAAGCACTTTAACCACTGTATCACTAGGGCCTCATAAAACACAAAGTTCAATGAGCCCACCACCCTGCAATTGTTTCATGCTCTAGACTTGGGCTAGCCGGGTGACTCACTAAGCTATACCAACATCAAGTAAGGACTGTGTATCCTGTTCACTGCCACATGTTCCTAGTGACTGACAGAGAACAAGTTTTAATGACTATTTATTGAACAAATAAACAAAATTATTTCAACAACTACATATAGCAATACTAAAGATACTGTCTTATAAATCCAAGGCTAGAGTATTTGAAAAGAATGCAGAATTAAAAACTGAGAACGCTGATTTAAGAAATAAAAAGTTGCATTCTTTGTATAAAATCAATACCTGCAGTCTAAAGGAAAGAACTTTTTCCTTCAACAGTAGGTTTAATGCCTCAGATGGTTTCAACTCTGGTCCAAATTCAGTACTTCATGACATAATTGTTTTACATACCAAGATAAAAGCAAAACTACTATGTAATCCCATGTTAGCAAAATTTTTTTGCTTTTATTATGAGAGTTTAGACTGTATAAAGGAGCTTCAAAAAATCTGCAGAAAGATGGAATTGAAAGGTAATGGAATTTTCCCATGAACGTTTTGAGGCACTCTCATATCTGGGTTATGAGAATTAAGAAACATTTCATAGGAAGTACTAGGGGATAATATACAGTGCTTAAACTAACTGAAAATGTCATCGTCCAGTTAAGAGACACAAAAACACATTCCCTTCTACTCTTAATACTAATCAATTCTCTACTGACACCTTGACCTCCTGGTGTGGCACTGTATGATCAACACTAGACTGTGAAGCACAGGTTGGCTGTTCAAGTCCACCAGCTGCTCCTCAGAAATATATAAGGTTGCTATGAGTTGGAACCAACTCAACAGTACTAACAACAACTGACATCTTACTTTAATGATAGAAAAAAAAAATCAAGAAAACTACTTTAAATAAAACATTTCATAGATAAATGCCAAAGCGAAACATGTATATGTGCATGTGTGTGTGTTTTCAGAAACCCTATACAGTCAGAACTGACTCAAAGACACTTAATGACAACATGTACATATATCTACACACATTCATCCATCTATATCTATATGCACTCATCTTTTTAGGCAGATCTGAGTCTTACAATCCTGAAAAATCAGCTATAGCTTTTAGGTTTTGGAATAAAGCCATCATTTAATTAAATGTTTTCAAATAAGTAATATAACAGAAACTACATTAAAGGAATATGTGCTGAATTAAAATTTTCAAAACCCTACTTTGAATAAAACAGGTCCACAGATTTTCTCATTTCAAATCAACATTGTATAGTGAAGCAATTATTTAGTGTTATAAGAAACACACATACAAGTCTGAGAGTGTGTGTGTAAAGTAGGAAGGTAAGCAGGTGCAGCATGTGTGTGACAGACATAGAAAGAAAAAGAGGAGAGAATGAAAAGGGGCACACATGAGGCTCTTCTGGGTCTCACAATTTTAACCCTACATAAAGCATAATATAAACGTCTTTGACCACTATTATAAAAAATCAAGAAAGTGTTTTCATTAAAAGAACATTTGATGATTGGCAGGAGTAGGAGGGAAGGAAGAGTAATTCACTGGCTACAGGGTAGAAAGGTGTTAACTTGGGTGCTGGGGAAGTCAAACACCTTGAGTGTTATTGGGCCAAGGGGCTCAGGATCGTAGTATCAGGGGAACACCATATCAATTAGCATAGCATAGTCCATAGTCCACAAAGACAATGTTCTACATCCTATTTTTGTGAGTCGTTGACTGCAATCTTAAAAGCTCATGATTGCACCTCCAGACAGAAACTCAAAGGGAGCACATGAGCAGGCATGTAAGCTTGCTGTCAACCACGTTGGTCTACTGGTGAGTGGAAGAGGGGGAAGAAATGGACTAAATTCAAGCACATTCCATAGACTCCCACTGACCTGGAGATGAGAGAGAAGAGGAAGGGCTGGTTGTTCTGAAGTGTGGTGAGACCTGGGGACTCCTGAGCCTATGAACAAGGACACAGCCACAGAGGGCTAGAGCTGAGAGTGAGCATCCAACTGATAAGAAGTGAGGGGAGATGCACAAGAATGCCCAAATTTGCAGATAGGACCCATCTGACCTAGCCTCGATTGCTTGATGATCAGAACTCGAATAGAGGAAGATAAAAAAAACATTTTTTGATAAAGGAAGCAAGTATAAATTGCTACAATTTGATGAACTTGACCTATACTTATGGATGTGTTGTTAAGTACCATGGAGTCGGTTCTGACTCATAGTGAACCTGGTACAGGGTTTCCGAAGCTGTCAATCTTTATGGGAGCAGAACGCCTCATCTTTCTCCTGCGGAACCACTGGTAGTTTGAACTGGTAACCTTGTGGTTGGCAGCCCGACTCGTAACCACTATGCTACCAGTGTAGCCCAAAATATCAACTGAGAGGAAAGAAGTCTTCACATCAAGTATCATTCCTATCCCCTCTGTATACAGGGTTGATAGGGATGGGCAACTTAGACATTGGCTACCTAAAATTGTGGCGG